TAATTCAAAATAAAATTGGATTTTAATAAAAGAAAATATGAGTTTATGCCTTATTTTATTTATGTTAATTGTTATTGTTAATGAACTAATGATGTATGCCAGAATGTTCAAGAATAAATTTAAATTCAAAAAAAATATTTTTTTATTTATATTTCATAAGGATATTTATGTATTATGATCTTATAATTATTAAATTTTTATTATGTTATTAGGATATATACATGATGGAGATATAATTATGTTTAAATATCTTTTTATATATGTATGGAGTATTTATAAATAAAATTTAGAATATATTATATTAAATTTTAAAACCGATTTATTCCCGATTTAACACCGATTAATCACCGCCGCACCGATTAATCGTGAGTCGGTGCCTGACCACCTCGGACCCGATTACCTTTTTTACAACCTTGGTTATAGTTAATTTAAGGGCAAATTACCAAAACCCCCCTGAGGTAAGCCTAAATAACGAAAATCCCCCTCACGTTCTCGTAATTATGAAAACCCCCCTTGACTAACGGTTGACCGAATTATTTTAACCGAAAACATGAAATGTCTATTATATCCTTCTGTTAAATATGTAAAAAATAAAGGGCAATTACCAAAACCCCCCTGAGGTAAGCCTAAATAACGAAAATCCCCCCTGACATCCCTTTCAGTTGATGATTTATTGCTTTTATAAATTTATTTATTACTTTGTAATTTGTATTGATAATTTGATATTATATTTTTTTATTTTTTTTATTTATATATTTTAATTGATTTTATTTATCCAGAGGAGTACTCATACGGATTTATGCTTTTAGCTTGAATGATGCATGGTTGTATTTATCGAATTGTAAAATATTTAATTTTATATATAAAAAATAATTAAACTTTGAAATCTCATCCATTGATTTTTTTTAATCCAATAAAAATACATTGTACATTCATAATGATTGATTATATTTGGGTTTAATTTAAGAAAAATAAGTATTTTGCAGACACTTATATATTTCATGAAGAGTATATATTTATGATCCCTCATTAAATAAAAGAGTAAAAAGCAGTTTGCCTCCTAAACTAAGGGTCGATTTGCACTTTACCCCCCAAACAAAAAAAAATTGCACGTTTTTACCTGAACTCGTTAATTCGTTGCACGGTGCCCCCCAAACTCAATTTTCCTGTAATTTTAACCGGAATGTTAAAACATGTGCTTTGCACGTGAGATTTTGCGGGGTAAATTTGTCCCTTCACTTACATCTTTAATATTATTAAAAAAAAAAAAAAAAAAAGAAAATAAATAAATAAAGGAAAAAGTAGCTGTCATCCACACCCACCTTCCCTGAAAAAAAAAATCCAATCCAATGGAAGAATTCCTTACATCCAGTCCTTAATTTATTTCCTCTTAATCCAATGATTTTTATTTTACTGTCTCCAAAAACACATGGGTGGTAGTGATTAATCTGTGACGATATCAATATTTCATCGTACTTAACAGAAAATCTACCAAAATTCCGTCAAGAGATAACCAAGCTTTAATTCGTGCAATCAACTATTTCAATAACAACGAATCAGTAGAAAATATCCCCAAAAAAATTTTGGATTAAATAAACAGACAGTATGAAAATTGAGTGCTAGAAGAGTAAACATTATTGCGGCCGGAGGAATTGTTGAGCGAATGAGGAGGGGATTTGACGGGATCTTCGACGTCGTTGTTTTGACGAGGGGAATTCGGTAATGCTGCCGCCGCCTCTTTTTTCCCCCGATAAATGTTCTGGGTTGAAGGAATTCCAATCGGCGAGACCGATTTTGGGGAGAATTATTGGAGGCAAACTACTTTTTACTCTAAATAAAATGCTTATAATTACCCCCCTAAGGGTAATTTCGTGTACAAGGGTAAAATTGGTATTATCGGAGGAATATTCGGGAGAATCAAAAAGATTCTGTCGAGTCTAACACCGTTAGAGCGATTTGTAAGATGTCTGCATACCTCAGGGGGGTTTTCGTAATTACGTGAACGTGGGGAGATTTCCGTTATTCAGACTTACCTCATGGGGGTTTTGGTAATTTGCCCTTAATTTAATGTAACAAAAGACAGATATCCAACTTTAATATTAAAAATTGGGTCTATTAGATATAACCCCCTTAAACATTCAAATAATAGGGGTAGATCCAAATTTAAATTTGCCATTTTGATAAAAGCCCAAGCTTTTCGTAATTACATAATTACCCTCAATCAAATCCCACAAATCCCGTTACTTTACCTTTTGAAATAATATCAAATCCTTCGGCTCATAGTTGATTAACGAGATGCATAGTCGAATTACATCTGTATTGATATACTATCCCATATCATTTAATAGACTATCCCACTGGTATAATTTTACTATGGATCTCGTTAATCGACTATGGGCCGAAGAATCATCAAAACCCTAGATTTGAGAAGTGACGGCGGCGGATTTGTTTTTAAAATTAATAGACTATCTCATATCTTTTAATAGACTATCCCATGTATCTAATTCGACTATGGGTTTAGTTAATTGACTATTGGAAAAATAATAATATATATGGAAACTGAATAATATGTTTGTTTGAAATACTAATCAATTAGGGTAATTTTCCTTATTATATGAAAACGATTAGGGTAAATATTAATATATATGAAAAAATAATAATATATATGGAAACTGAATAATATGTTTGTTTGAAATACTAATCAATTAGGGTAATTTTTCTTATATCATGTAATAGACTATCTTATTGATCTAATTCGACTATGGATCTCGTTAATTGACTATGGATCCCGTATTATTCAACCACATATAGTATATTAATAATTTCAATATAGTACATTAATCTGCTATGATAGTATATTACGGTTATAGTAGTGATATGAAATTGTGTTACAAACAATATACCACTGAAATGACAAGAACATTGAGAACAACACCAACGTAAAGTATTCCACATAACCAATAAAATAGTACATTAATAATCTCATAATTTCAATCTAGGGTTTTGATTAAATACATAAAACATATCATAACACAATCAAACCAATATGTCGAGTTAAAAAACTCTAGTACATTAATAATCTCATAATAGTATAATAAAATGAAAATGGTAGTATCATACGGTATTCATAATAGTATACTACTGTATTACAACGGTTTAACACTTAACCGAAGTTACCGAGCCATTACATCGTAAACACCTCTTTATAGCAACCAACCCACCAAACCTCAACAAAATCCGTACGAAATTCGCCATCGAAAAAACCTAAAATCATGAAACAAAATTAAAAATGTAGAATACTAAAAAATGATTAAATAGACTGCAAATACATTTGAATGATAATACATTAATACCATCAAAAATAAACTTAAAATGCAAAATCCATACGCTAAATTAAAAAAGACTATGAACTATATTTTAATGTACTACCCAGCACACTTAAATCGGCTGTTATAAACAAATAAACCAACTATCGATCGGGATAAAAACATGAACTCGACCACAGCGGACAATTATTCCGATTATTGCATAAACCAACTACGAAGCTCATATAAAACAACTCTGGTCCGATCTGCGTGAACCATTCTCTTCTAACTCTGTCAATCCTCTTCCAAACAAACATCATCGGCCAAAAAAAACGATATATATATGACGGAATAATTTTGTTAAAAAACGTTCTACTTAATATAATCAAGTATCAACACAATTCTTAAAAATTTCTAACCACCGTACACGACAATCATGGACATTGAGCAAAAAATAAAAACGAATAACGCATTCATACCCGCTTAACAACGTCCAACAATTAACAAACGCTCAAAAATCGATCATATTTCCACGACGGTGCAGAAATCTTCAAAGACGATAAAACCCGCTGGAACGATGAAAAGAATCTTCAAAAAATATTG